CAAAAGTAACTGTCAAAGATTTCGACTGGTGGTCTTTCTCATTTGAGAGAGTTCGGCGGGAGAAAACTGTCAAGCTTACAGGGACCTGCAACATAGTTGTCTATTCACGGTACGAGCCCAGGATGAACAGAAAAAGTAATTGTCGACTCGAAAGAATTAGCTTTCGAACCGAAAAATGTATCTTATCTAAGAGAATTGTAAATTGTCTAGTGTAAAGGGCCCTACAAAAAAGTGTCGGTTCGCACGTGTCTTACGAATGGATGGAATCATTTTCTACTCCGAAGAATCCGGCAGAGTGACTTAATTTGTCAAACGGAAAAGTGCATCTCATTTAAGAGAGTTAGAAATTGCCAAGCATAAAAGGCCATACAGTGAGTCGTTGACTCCTACATACCGGTTCCATAAGTAGACAAAATCATTGTCAAATGGGAAGAATGAGTTGCCAGTAAACGGAAATGGGTTTTATTAGAGAGACTTCAAAGATCTTTAAATGATATGAAGGACTTTGCAAACTGCAGCGAAGTGTTTCCTACCGTTTGATTTTACGAATGGACAGTCTTTGGGGACTTGATATAATATAAGTTGCCAAACGACAAAATAGCTTCTCAGAAAGTCAGCATGAAATTTTCCAGCATGTTGATTTAAGGGGCTCTATGACAAACTTCCCGTTCGTGCGACGACTGCACGAATAGACTGTGGCTTGTTTTTGACCCGACACGACCCCTCCGGAAATCCGGGAAATTTTTGCTTCTGGAATCCAGATTGCATCAAATTTTTGCTGTGGAATCAGGAATCCCGCGCTTTGAAATCCGGAAAACAGCTCCTAGAATCCGGAATCCCTCTAACGATTGGATCCGGATTCCAAGTTCCATTGATAAAGAATCCGGAATACGGGACCTTTAATCTGGAATCCACGCAGCCTCGTTCCCAGTCTTCCTCGGCGATTTCGGAATTTCACCTGTCAAGCTTGTCGGGAAATTCGCCTCGTACTCTATCGCACTCGGTTCCAAGCCTCCTCTGGTAACTCGGATAGCGAGAACTGGCCTGGGTAGGAGGTTGGAATCCACGGCGTGTCCGAATCCATAATCCAAGATTGGATTCCCTTACTTGGGGCGAACTCGACAGAATAAGTTGTCGAACAGAAAATGGATGCATTTTTGATTGGTAAATTTTCTTTTATCAACAGGAATGAAAGGAAAGTTTACCGATTCAGATAAAATGGACTCACGCCCATTATCACCTGAACGACTAGAGAGATTTGTTCATAGTAAAATTATAGTCTAATTAAATTCTTGTGAGATATCTATTAGCCTCCCACGCAGACGTTCTTAGGGGTTCGTCGTGCGTTCCTGCCCCACTGACAACGTCTGCGGGGGAGGCTTGATATCTATAGAGCCTTGACAGGGAACCCCCACTTTTAGCGATCGGAAGTATCAGCTCGCTAAAAACTTCCCACGTTTTTCACCCCTTTTTTCTCTTTCTATGTCGCCCGGAAAGACATTGGAACTCTAAAACTTCAGTGGGCAAAGCATTCTGGAACACCAATAACGCCACCAGTTGCAATGCTAGTAATACAATCTATAGTAATTTTAATTTTCAACTGCCCATGCAAGCTGGTATTCAATTGATTTCTTTGATAGTTGCCTTAAGGTTCTTCGGCAGGTGGTCATATATTGCTTCAGTTTTCGTCAGACAGGAGACTTTAGCCTTCAAAAAGTAACAGTGAAACGTCCTTACCAGCCACTAAACAACGACGTCCAATGAAGTGTACCGCTTCAGCAGTGTTCTACTGCGCAACATATGCTTTACTTTGTAAATTTTCTAACGGGGTCAAGCAAGGCGATAAAAGACACGAGTCAACAGGTACGTTAAATGGTTTTAGCACCACTGTAATTATATTGTCGCTGTTTGTTGATAAAACTCGCTATTAATTGTTTACATTTAGGGCCATTCTAAAGCTAAACAGAACTAAATGGAATAAGAAAATAACACGTAAACTTCTGTACTTAATTGTAGAATGACACGGCAAACCGCGGCAAGTGTTCTGATATCAACTTTGAACTGAAAAGGTGACTTGGCAAACACGATTCTTTGATCGCATCTCGAAGTGATAACCACTTCGTTGTAACCCAGATGTATCTAATCCTGTTTACCTGTTTATTTTTTGCGTTGAATCGCACAGATATGAATGTCATAGAATTAAATGTCTGGACAAACTTTGGTTTTCAGAGTTTTAAACACATGTTTTTAGAGTAGTCATGATTCACGAACTTGAGCTCTCAATAAAGAACAAAAAACACTTGTTGATGAAAGAAAAAACAGATAATAAAGGAAACGGAGGAATTAAGTCCAGTATATTATTGGTAAAACGAACTGAAGGCGGGCAGATTGATTAGGTTTATAACTAATAGTACTCCGTATTTAGCGATCTCAAACGCTTTTTTGGAAATAGCTTTTCGATCGATTCATTGATGATTATGGAGGTATGGTAAAGACAGAAATTGCTCACTGACTGTTTATTTTTAAGAGATTGGTACTTCCAAAAAATCGTCAGTCAGCCAAATGTGCTTCAGTCCTGCCAGGTACGTTAAAAACGAATTTAAAATCCGAGGACGGCGACGGTGGCCGGTGGTGACAGTCGAGTGGGTCGACGCTTAAAATAGTGAATTTGCGTTCCGGCTTCCAATCATCATCGCAATTATTATCCCGGCCAGAACTCACCTACTTTGTCAAATGTAGGCAAAAACTTTCCGGGAGTTGAATTCCTAAGAACTATATCCAACTTCAGAGAGAGAAAGAAAATTTCGACTTCGCTTGTTTACGTTCTTCATAAAAAGTGAAATTTGGCATTAAGTTCTCGTTACCGTCGTCGTCGTGATATCCTTAACTGCCTAAAATTCGAGATCACACTGTAGGAGAATAAATCCGTTATACAATATCACTAAGCTTTGAGTGCCTTTTTTAAAATTCTAGGAGCTGAACGTGTACTGCTTAGAAAGCGGCGAGCATTTGGTTCTTGGAAGCCACCCTGTAATAGTGAGTAATAAAGTAAACTATAAACAACGAAAATTCTTCTTGGTAACGTCTTTGATTGCTGACGAGCCTTAAGCGAGCCAGCACACTATTCTCTACAATAGAGGGAAAAAGCCAAAATTTGTCAGATGTAAGATCAGAAGCATGCAGAGTCGAATGGTTTTGCTTATTATCCGGCGTAATTGCTCCTGTACGATGACATCACGTAAAACGCACTTGGACTTCGAACAGATTTCAGGGTGCAGGCAGAGGTCTCTCACGACGAGGCCAAAAATTTTGCCTCGTCGTGAGAGACCTCTTCTAGCAGGGAAGTAAGCCAGATGTGTGTTAAGCAATTGCTTTTTTCATTTTCTAGTTGTCTTTAAAGTATTCATCAATGTCTCGATCCAGACTGTTTTAGCTATGAATCTCGTGGAGGACAGGAGGATTATGTGTTTGGCTGCTCTTTTCGCCGATTCGCAAATACATATGGAGGAGCAAAGATATCGATCATTCAAATCATCCTTTTTGGAAATAGTTTTTTTCCTGTACATTCAGCAGTAGTGAAGTGCCAGGCAAACATACTTTCATTCGGATTTAACTGCCGACTCTGGCTGCTGGTCTCGTGAGAAAAGACAGGACGCTGCGAAGCATTAACCTGATAACACAGCCTTGCGTCTAAAGCTACTTGCAAATCAAAGTATTTTTTTCGCCCGTTGGGGCGTTAAATCTGATCGTTATGTCAAAATCTGTACATGTCGAGTTAAACAATTCAGCCGATAATTTGACCACTGAGTTACATTTGTTCGTTGAGGCGAAAGAAATAGCTTGGAACCTTGGATTCAAAATGTATATCGCTCTTGGAAGCCATCTTCTCATGGCTAACCATTCAACTGCAAAATTATTTGACTGAAGCGTTGGCAAGCACCTGCCACGCAGGCTACCGTGGGGTCCAATTGTTTTCTTTTAATCTTCTCGAGCACCACATTAAACCGTCGTTCGCCCATTGACCTTGATTATTGCTGAAAATGTATTAGCAATGCTTTCGCAACGCCATTCGCGAACGGGCAAACATTGTTGAGATAGATGAGCAGTCTTCCTCGGGATTCACCACTTAACCGTTCGTGACCTTGATGAATACTTCCATTGGCAAATAAGGAAATCTATAAAATATATCAAAAGGCAATTCATTAAACCTCAGGCCTCGTTTTTCATCTGCTTGCATTCTGGAAATTTACTCGAAGGGCTCTTCCCTTTTATGCTAAAAAATATCATATTTATTCCTTTTAAATACTAAGGCTTACCCACCCTCATTCGCAGGAGTTACTTTCTTTTTCTTCTCTATTCTCAAACTGTAGTCTCAGTATTTTCTTCCGACTCTGACGCCAGCACTTACTTGAAATTGAAACCCCTAGTTAATACGTTAGTCAGTTTTTTGACTTGTCTGAAGGTGAAATTACATTAAAGCAAAACACCCCTGGGCCCAGTTGTTCGAAGGCCGATTAGCGCTTAACCCGGGGTTAAATTTAACCCGGGTTTCTCTTTCTTGTGTTAAAAAGCCTTTTCTCGGATAATTTTCTCTGTTATATTTAGAGCTTCCAATCATCAACTTGTAGACAAAAAGAATTAAATATGAAATGCTTTTAATCCCTTCAAATCTGATTTCAAATCTTGCACTAACCCTGGGTTATCTTAACCCAGCTTTGAACAACCTGGCCCTGGTTTCTTTTTCTTGTGTTCAAAAACATTTTCTTGGATAATTTTCTTCCAATCATCAACCTGTAGACAAAAAGAATTAAAACTGAAATGTTTTTTAAGCTTTCAAATCTGAATTCAAATCTCGCACTAACCCTAGGTTATGAAAGGTTATGAAAGGGTAGAGATTTCACTTGCAACATTCCAGTGAAACTGTTTCCATTTCAGTTACCAACGGCATCTATTTGGAAAGATGGGACCGGATAGATTACAAGCGTGTGAAATTCCTCCTCATGGACTCTCGTTATCCAAGGCTGCCATCGAAAACAATATGTCTTCCTGATTTCCAGCAACCGCAGAGTTGGGCTGATTATTTCGGTGCTCGAGCAAGGACGTATTTTGTTCCACAGCAGACTGGGATTTACCGCTTCATGCTTTGTGAGGGCATTTATTTTGATTCTAAAAATTTGTACCTTAGTCCTTATTAGGCATGCAAGAAAGAGGAGGTTAGTTTCAGAAAAAAAGAGATAAGGAGGACAAAGGTCAATGGGGTTACGGTTGATCAAAGTCTTTGGAGACAAGCACGGCGGTAGATCGGTGAATACTCAACAGTGCAACTGAACATACCAAACTGATTCGTATTATTGGGGTGTTTGACCAATGAAGGGGTTTGATCCAGAAGGGCAAATGTTATCCAGTCTGCATAACAGGCGCTGTATAAGCCAAGCGAGTCGAACGCAGCTTTTTGCGCTTCACGCTCTTGCCGTGTTCGCCTCCCATGGCTGATAAAGCGCCTGCTCTGCAGGCTAATGTTATCGAAATGCTACGCAATGGAATTGTAATTATTAGACATGCGCTTACTGAAAGTCAGAACTGGCGCGCGATCGAACTGGTTATTTTGAAATTAAAAAATTCTAGGTTTTTCTCGAAATTTTCCCAAAACCTACCAATGCCGAATATACCCTTGATGAATAGGTTGATTTGGTTGAATAGTCTTGATTGATAGAGCCTAGGGATTCTCTTTACTACTGTAGCGGTCTGGTCGGCCGTTTCTAACAATGAAAAGCGCCCTCTAATTTTCATCTTACTGGCACATAGACGAACGGCTGAATTTCAACAACCATGTAGCTTCAATATGCAAAAAGACAAGCGAGCGGATCGCAGTCATTAGTCGCTTTAGAAAGTTGTTAAGCATCCAAACTAAACTCACGCTATATAAGGCTTATATTTTACCTCATTTCACCTATTGTTCCACAGTGTGGATGCACTGTGGAAAAACGGCATCAGACAAACTTGAAAAACTGAACAAGCGGGCTCTAAGATTAATTTTTAATGACAATGCTAATACTTATGCTACTCTACTGGAAACAGCAAACATGCCTTCTCTGCACGAAAGGAGAGTCCAGGACATGTGTATTCTTATCTATGAAGTCATTCATGGAATAACACCTACTCCACTTCGCAATCTGCTGACGCTTAGAAGTAAATCACGTAATTTACGGGGCGAATTGATTCTTGTACAACCCTGAGTTATCACCACTAAGTATGGACTAAACACCTTTAGGTACTACGGACCAAAAATCTGGAACTCTCTAAATGATGAACTAAGAACTTCTCCGAACCTTAAAAAATTTGTAACACGCATCAGAAAGATCACCTTTGACGCATGTAACTGCTCTTTATGTAACTGTTAGACTATCGTTAATATTGTACCTTTTAGAGTCATTATCTGTAAACAATATCGCATTATGATGTAAATAGTTTAAATTCAGTTCATTTCTTCTTTGTTTGTTTTTAACCTCGACTCATTAGCTACTTAAGCTAGGAGCCTAATAAGCTCCAGACCCTCGAGTATAAATAAAGTTTTCAGTTTTTCAGTTTTTCTCCCCTTCCAATGGTTTTTTACTAGCGACCAACGAATTTTCATGTTTACACTTTCCCCTAGTCCCTGTACGGCGTTCTCCATGGCCTTCTCAGTCAATAGGGACTATGCAAATATGTCGCAAATATTTAAATACTGGGGAGTAAATATATGGCAAACATAGTAAAAGTTGTGCAAATCCATTTTTTCGTGCACGGTGTATAACGTGTGCATGTAATTTCTCTCAGCATCAGATGCCGGTAGTGAGCTTCATATTAGTACCAATGAGAAACCTGTTCACCTTTCGCTGATTGCGTCGGTTGAGGGAGGATTTCCAACTCAACCATATGAGTTTGATAGGTGAGTTGAAAGATGTTTTGTACTAGCCTGCGTAGAACTCGCTTGAAATTAATGGGCGCAAGAAAGATTATTTGGCCTTGACGGGTATGTGCCGCTGAACAGGTTATGGTTTTCAGGGTCTTGAGTCTTAAACAGGGTATATAGTTTCAAAATTTAGCGTCTTGAACGGGATGTCTTTTAGGATAAAAAGCCTTTAAAAAGGTGTGAATGGTGGCGATGAGTTGTGTACATGGTATCAACGGGAATGTTTTTTTTTTCCAAAAAGTCTCATTCCAAGATGTTTGTTTAAAAAATGGTTTGATAATGTGTACGGAACGATATTAATAATAATAATAATAATAATAATGATTTGGAGGTAGCACATTTACAAAGTGGTTCTTCGTCTACCCTACCCAGGGTCTTAAGTAAGGTCTCTTGTCTTAAACAGGGTAGCCAGAGGAATGATTTTTGTCTAAAACAGAACTAAACACTGCAAACAGTAAACAGTGTACAATTGAAATAATCAGGTCTGATGCTCGCTCGTGCAGTTTGAACTCCGTGGTGCACTTTATTAATATATAGATTTATCCAGGGCAAAAAACGAAGCTCCTATTAACTCGAATTTATAATTTAAATCAAACAATAAACTTGCAATTGTATTTTACAAATCAGTTAACTTTAGAGCACATTCATGTGACTTTTGAGGGAAAGGCTAAGTGATTTTAGAGAAAAATAATTTGCAAACAGTCCAAGCTAAGAGTGAACTTAATCTTACATCGAGTTGATAGCCTTGTACACCCCAAAAATAGCAATCATCTTCGATCACATTCAAGAGCCATAAAAATGGCTCTTGCTCACATTAGATTAGGCCTGGAAAACAAATTCTCGGAAAACAAATCAGGCCCAATTTTTTGAGCTCGACAAGTTTACAATTTATTTTACAAAATCTTGCTAACAAGTCTGGGGACGTGTAAACCAACTTTTTATACTTTTTATACATCATCTGAGGTGAAACAGTACCATGAGGCATTGCTTTTACAGACCTCGGACAGATCACAATTTTGCAATACAAATTGTACTCATTCAACATTCAGGTCGATCGAAGCACGCGTGGGCTTTTACCGAAACCGTTAAAAAAATTTCTCAAATCACCTATACGGCTTGCCGGTTCTCACTTTTGACAAGCGCCAAAGTCGACAGTTTAAATCAAGATTAATAGAGTTATACGCTTTAACATGTTAAAAAATTTATTATGTTTATTTCTTTATCTAACGGTTTTATAACTATGTGTAATCTTCAAAAGCGTTTGATACACGCAGCATTTTGACTACTCCTGCAAGCGATGTTCGTGAGCGACTGAAAACAAACGGCACAGCGATTAAAATTGCAAAAGAGACTACTAACAACCAATAAAAGGATAATAATTCGGTGAAACATATACAGAGACAACAATTTTCATTCACGAAGACAAGTAAAAAGTGTCTCTGAAAATCCTTGTTTATGTTTTAAGCCGGCTTCCCGGCGTTTGCTTTTTTCGAAGATGAACTCGAGGCAAGAAAATCGCTCAAAGCTTTCTTTTACAGCCAGAATTATAACTAAATATTCTTTGGAACGTTTTCTTTTTATTTGCAGTGAGAAAATGTCTAAAGGCTTTTTAAAGTTCTATAAGCTTATAATCAAACCTGATACTTGGTCAGATCGATCATTGTCTTAAATCTTACAAACGTGCATAAACTAAATAGCCGCATAGACTACGCCCGACTTCATTAAATCAGATATAAAAAACAAACATTAAATACAATAATTACTCAGGCTTACCATTCGAGATGCTCTGAAAACTATCAAGTAAGGCCAGAATCGCTTCAGACTTTTCAACCCTCTTACGCATTAAGCAAGGTAAAAAACGAAAACGATGCCATCCGAATTCGGATTTCCGACTTTGACAAGCGACGTATTTCTCAACCAAAAACCCAATAAACAAACTAGCTATGAATAACAGAAGACTCTTGATAGGAGCAGAATTTCATTTTGTACATTCAGCGGAGAAAGACAGTTAAAAACATCTCAAGTTGACACAAAACTCTGTCAGCTTCAGCTGTCAAAGTAAACAAGTTTCAAGATGCTGCATAAATTTGCCGCATGAACTCACCTGTCAAATTTTGACCAATCAGAGCATAAAAATTGGACGTAGAGCGTGGCCAACGCGTGACCTTGGTGAGAAAAGTCAAAAGCAACTGGCATGTCTTCCCTGCCTGCAAAAACTGGCTGAATTTTAGCTTCCGAGGTCAGTTTGAAATCAAAATTTTAATTGTGGGACACATATAAATTTAAAAAAATTAAACTTGAGCCTGCGATCATTTGAAAACTAGTAACTTGTCAGCGGATAACTTCAAAAAGATACTCGACCTCGATGGGTCGACACCTGAGCCCGCGATACGGTCAGGTGATACTGGTCAGCGGATACTCTACAGCTGTCAATTGATCACAACATTGATGTACAATATGTGTGCAATATCAGTCTTCCTGTGCTACCAAACTAGCTAGAAAGTGTGAGATTGAACATTGGTTTTCCTGTGGTGCGGACGGACGGGCGGGCTGCGGGCGGTGTACGGTCACGTGATTAACAAATTTTCTCGGATGGGTAGATTTACTTACCCATGGTGCTCCGCAGGCGCGCTTCGCGCGCCAGAGCTCCGCTATAAGTCAATACTTATTTGGCACAGCGGTCTACATGTGTGTTACCCGACAATTTTTTCAAAGAATCTAATTCCATGATGTTGGTTTGAAAAATTACTTTATTCTGTGTGTGGAAACGAAATGGATGAGGGTCATGAAATTAGGTCTCTTGTCTGAAACAGTGTAGTGAAATGGCGGCACACCTCTTTCCGAACGTCCCTTGAGTGACCCCGGGTCAATTTATGTAGGTTTTCACCCGGGGTGGGGAGGGGGGACTCCGCATATGAAAGGGGTGGGGATGCTCGTCGGAAATGTTGACTTAAACCCTAAGGGAGACCGATCTGGGCGTGGTCCAAGCTTTTTTTGACCCCTAAAAGAGACCATGTTAAAACACAGACAATATATATATTTTTATTTTTTTCGCGTGCAACCCTAAACGAGACCTTCACGGCTAAATATGATGGCGTTTTGCCTAGAACACCCTAAGTGAGACCAAAATTCGAAATTTACATCCCTAAGCGAGGCGACGAGCATCCCCACTTTCATATGCGGCGTCTCCCTCGGGGGGATTTCATTTATACATCCCGACTTTTACCCGGGATTAAAGAACCAAATCGAAGGCATAAGAAACATAATCTAATCAGCGTTATACGTATGGACCTATTCGTCTGGAAAAGGGCAAATATTATTACATGGAAACTAGAATGAAAGATGATCACTTCAAAGCGTCAGATTGGGTGACGGGATTAAATAAAGGACCATATCGGGGACAACCAGTAATATGATCAACCTTATATGTATGAATCTATACAGGTATAGCAACCAAATATCACTTCCTATTCCTCTGGAAAAGGGAAAATATTATTACGTGGAAACTATAATGAAAGACGATCATCAAGATGACCACTTAGAAGTCGGAATGGAGGCACCTGACGGGACAAATTACACAGTGATACCCTCGACATTCTTGAGGACCAGTTTGCCTGTTCCACCCCGTAAGTCAGTGACAATGAACTTTTTCGATACTGTCAACCTGGCCCGGCTTGTTCAAACGTTGGATTGCGCTATCCACCGGATAATTCACTATCCAGCAGGCCCCGGTTGTTCAAACGTTGGATAGCGCTATCCACCGAATAAATCACTATCCAGCAGATAAGTGTTAGGGAAACCAATTGCGTTATCCACTGGATAGATTTTTAACCGGTGGATAGCACTATCCAACGATCGAACAACCGGAGCCAGATAAGTATAAGGGAAACTAATTGCGCCATTCAGTGGATAGAGATTTATCCAGTGGATAGTGTTATCCACTTTTTGAACAACTGGGGCCTTAAAGATAAATGATGATGATGATGATGATAAATACTTGATTGGTGGGAGGCAAACCATTATGATGCCAGTTGGCTATTATATGAGCTTGGTCGCCGACAATTGGACCTCGGGATTACCGAGAACAAATCAAACTGGTGGTCAGGGCGGGACTTGAAATCTGTAAATAACAATTCCAGCGCTTCAGTGACCTCCCAGCGTGGACTGATTGAGAGGTCAGAGTGCAGACAATGGTTGGGAGGAAGATTTCTCTCGATTCAGCAGAATGAGTTGTCGACGTCCGAAGGAATAATGCACATTGTTATCATAATAATAATGCATGTTAGAATCCTTCGAATCGACAACTTCATTCAGAGCCTATCGTGACAATACGCTAGAAATTTCGTTCTCCCCATGTGAAGAAATCTGAATTCCGGAGTCCCGGAAATTGTTGCCTGTAGAATCCGGAATCCAGAAATGTTTTCTTGTAAATCTGGAATCCTGGCTTGAAATACAGCTCTGAAATACAGCTCAACGAATCCGGAATCCCTCTAACGATTGGAATCGGGAATCCAAGTTCCACTGACAAGAATCCGGAATCCAGTCCCTGGAGTCCAGAATCCGTAGCTTGGAATCGACAATCCAAGACGTTCTTGGATTCTCTTATCTGACAATCGGACTTAATCCTCTCGGTTGTGTATTCCCGCTTACAGGACAAGAAATATGGAAGAGAAGTTTTTTTTTATGAAAAAGGGAAACAGATTCAAGTTGACTATTGGTCAAATCAGGAAAGGGGACATTTATGTCTATTTTGACAACTCACGATCTCTAGTGTTTTGATTCCTAGTTGACAACGATTTGATTCATCCGTACGACGAATGAGATGCATTTTTCCACTGTCGAATTTAAAACGTTTAATTCATTTGTATGATTCCGTGGAGTTAACAACTTCTCAACGGCCCAGTTTATCAATTGAGCAATCCTTTGGGGGCGCTATTTATCCATTCATGGTGGCCAAGAAACGTATTTTTCGGGCTTATACGTCACAAGTGTGAGTGTGATCTATTTGGAAGCACTGTTAACATCCAAAAGTCACGATCGAACAAAACAAAACGAAACAAAACGAGCAAACAAACAAAAACACACACAAAGTATCGAGCATTTACCAAAAACTGTTGGACAGAGAAATTAACGACTGAGCAAACAGGAACAACCTAACGTCATTTTGAAAATCAGCATTCAGAGAAATACCATAAAGAGTCAATCAATTTTTTCCTTACCAGAGACACAATTCCATCTATTTCCAAATAGCTGGGCAGCCGAGGCAAACAACTTTTCACGCAGAGCAGCAAACCTTGAGCAGTACATGCACAAAATAATGCTTCGTATCTTTAACGGGTGCATAGAAAACAGCTCAGGCTACTGAAGAATTAGCCTTTGGCAGCTTTTCATAGATATATAGTTTTACCCAAGCCTAAAAGCGAAGCTTCGGTTTTTAATTTTTTTAAATTAACGATTATTGGATGATAAAGGGATGTTCAGTTCTGCAGATATTCTCCAAATAGCAAATGTCGTCGGTCCAATTGTAGTCTTGTTGTTCTTGCTATGTTTTGAGGCATGCAGTAGTTACCCTATGTCTTCTTCGCGAAACGTGTGAAATGTTGCTCCATTTTCTACTGCTCTACCAAAACAACTCAACCTCGTCCCCAGAACTTGTCGGTTAACGGTCCAATTTTCTGGCATTTATGCTGCACTATACACCGAATGCAAATATGGCAGACCTCTCGGCCAGCCCTGGTCTAGTTGCGCACAAGAGAGGCTAGTGAGGCCTCGAGAGTTTTGTTTTGACTGTGCGTCTTAGCGATTGAGTCGATCGATATGGTTTGCTTCGAGTTGTTGCTTCGCTGGGCACCACCAAGAGATTTTACTCTGACAGGAACTACCTTTACTTTCCAGAAAATCTTTTCACAAAGAAAGCTAAGGATTCACGCGATTCGGCCCGGCGAGGGGAAGCACTTCACAGCGAAAGTGCAAGTGCAAGTGCAAGTGGTCGCTTCACTTGCTTTAGAAGAGATGACTCTCGAAAGTATTTGAATGAAAGAATTTTAGCAAGAGATGGTGCTGTTCCATAATGCTTGCATAGTCTGTTATTTATCGAAAAAAAGGTAAACGTTCTCGAGAACGGAAGCATCCGCTGACGACTTTAAGATCTTTTAGATTTCACGCTGGAAACAGCTGTATTGAAATATAACAAGAATCGCCGAAAGGCGATTTTTAACTGGGCTGCAAAGGGGCTATTTTTTTCTGAGGGGAGGGGGCGGCTATACACACTCAGGCTACCATAAAACCTTGTAGGCAACCATTGCATGCAACAGAATCTCATGTGAGACTGAAACATAAACTCATTCAGAACATTGTACCCTTTTGAAAGACTTTCGTAACCAAAAAAAGAGAGTACCATTTTTAAGTGGGGGCTGTATAATATCTTTTAAATTCCACCATTATGAATAAAAATAAACGAGTTAGCCATTAATTGTCAGCAGGAAACAATTTGCATTATTTCCACGCACCCCTCCCCCAGTCCCTCTGTGCCCCAAAATATAACGTGACAGTATAACGTGACTAATTTGACGTAACCTGAAATTCCAAAAATTGTTGTCCTTCTACGAGCATAAAATGCGACAGACTGAGCTGATTTACACTAGACACAAATATTGTATTGTATGAAAACCAGAAGTATACTAAAACAGACAGTTAACTGTTCATTGATCCCGCCTGATCCAGGGGGCCTCACTGACTGCACGGAGACTTTACTGCGCTTTTCACAACCATGCGAACTCTAAAGATCAAAAGCCACCTTCACAATTGTGTTTATCGCTTCCGTCAATCATAATTACGATCACAAGCAACGAACCTTGAAACAGAGAAACACACAAAACGGATCGAAATTCACAAATCACAAACCGTGACCTTTTGAACCCGTGAAGTAAAGTTTCGTTTCCTAAGAGGTCCTTTAAGATGATTGACAGCAGCGAAAAACGCAATCGTCGGTTGGGTTCTGAACTTCAGAATTCGCATGTTTGTGAAAAGTGCGATCCTAATTTGGGGTCCACAGTCTACATGAAAACGCACTATTTTTTCCACAAGATGAAAAATATTCAGTTTTAAGATTTTCCTCATGGTATTTTTCTCTAACTTAAAGGAATAAAATCCTTTGCATTTTGAGACCTAAAAAAGTTTAAAGATTTCTCACTCGCATGTTGCGTTCACCAGCACGCACTTCAAACAACTTAAATAGATGAAACGATCGATAACATATTTTTTACCTTATGCCGATGCGAGTTAAAAATTCGCTCCAGTTCTGTTTGTCTCACCCAAGACTAACTTTTCTTCATGGAAGATAACTATGCCGCTTTATAACTCGTCCGAAGTTTTTGTGCCGGCTAAACAATATGGAAACACTATTCACAGTGACTCCTTGGATATTAAAAAGACTGAACGTGACGCACCATTATGCTTTTGTTTACTTCTGATCACATCTTCAAGCGAAGTCTCTCTTTTCAAGCGATTCATCTCAATGCACAATAATTGACCCTTATGTTAGTTAAAATCCTATGGTTCATTTATATTAATGCTGTTTTTGCCCCTCACATTGATTGTGTTCGTTCGCATTCAAAACACATTTACGAAAATAAAGGTCGTATAAGTCATGTCTTATGTTTCGAGATAAATGGATTATGCGCTTTTTTAAGTTTCCATTTTGCGGTGACTTCATTTTGCATCTCCATAAAATGGTAAAAGAAATATCAAGAAACATCACGAGAGCTGAAAATTTTCAAAGGCATGTTTCTGAAACTCGCTCATGCTGACATCAATATAGCGTGCTTGCTGAATGGGCGAAAACACAGAATTGTGATCACAAGATCTTGTACAAATTTAATGATAAAAGCTTAGCAATATACAGATACAAACAAAAGCAAACCCCCTGAAAGCTCGACGTGGGCTACACTTGTATGCTCTGCTCAGTCACCAAACCTTGTCAGTAATAGCTCATATTTTCCTCAAGTCGCTCTCTGTGAAGCTCCCGGATGGGATGTCCCAGTGAAGCTTTAAACTTGTGTGCGAAATCCTCAGAGTTCCTATTTTTGTCCGTGTCTTCTTTATCCCCAGTATCCGAAATTTAGACCTCGAAAGTGGCGTGTGTTGCATTAAATAGAAGGAAATATTTAAAGGAAAAGCCAGTCTTCTAACATGGCAAAGTTGTGACGTCCCTCGCTATGTACGTGCGTCACATCAGGATTCATCTTCCATTCATCGGCAACTGAGTTGTTCGCTTCACTGACTATGACGGTTTACAATCAAGTCTTCAGCCATAGTGTCAACTGGTGAAATACCTTTCTCATAAATTGTGCTTCTTAATTGCTCATGTACTACATCGATCGATAGTTCACCAAGCGGCCACGGCGTTCCAAACCTGACGCTCACAGTCATCTTTTCAGTCTTAAAACCTTAGAACCTACCGTGAACGGCGTGTCGGTTTGAATGCAACGCGAGCATTTCTCAGAGTTTCCCAGCGCCAACATCATCTAACTGACTTAAACTCGAACAATAAAAAAATTATAGAGTGACTCCCACGATTGAATCGCTTCGAACAACGCAAATGGCCTTCTTCAGGTTCGCAACGCCTTGTGGGTTTTTCAGGGGGAGCGCAGACGAGGTACAAAAAGTATCCGTGCAAGGGTTCGTGCAAGAGATATATGAAACCATTTATGAGAACATCGTTTCTCAGTACCAGACCCTCGTGTCTTCCCTCCCCCGGGAGACCACTTTTCGACACCGACGACAGAAAGCCCATTTTATGACTGGGCCGCACAGGCAGCCCAGTAACAACAGTGACGAGTGTGAATGAAACACAACAATAACAATTGCCTGTTAATCCTACAAGCGTGGCCTATGAAACCATGTAAGAACTAGAAGTAAGCGACATGTGTGAAGAATAGTCCTTTGATCAAAGTGCACTGAAAAAACTAACAAAGGAAGTGTCGCGAACTAAGAAAGTGAAAAGAAGGAAAAAGCTTCTGGCAGGGAATGAGCGTGCAAGAAATTAGAGCATTGTATAAAATTTGCCCTTGCGCGTCTTATATTTTTATTAAGCAACTGGTCGAAGGGTTTCGAGAATAACAGCGGTTTTCCAAAAATTGCTACTTTTATGGCACTACTCAAACTCTTGAAAACAGGATCGTGAAGGCTTTGAAAACATTCGGCCTCGTTGTAAACATTTCATGCACGCTGAGAAGTGTCCCTGAGAGCTCTTATGGATTGTTACAGAACCATCTCTCAGGTATCCTCCCATTCAATAGTTTCGTGAGTCTTCTCTTCTGAAGTGAAGCAAGCACATTTTCGTTCTTTTAACTCCGTGATAGCAAAGTGCTTCCATTCGCCTCGCCGAATCGCTTGAATCCTTTTCTTTCTTCGTACAGAACCTTCGCAAAGGGAAGATAATCAACTTTCGTTTCTTCTGGAGTTAAATGTCCTCATTGATGGCTCTTACTCGCGTAACAACTCGAAGCAAACCACATCGATCGACTCAATCGCTAAGACGCGCAGTCAAAACTAAACTCTCAGTAACTCTTGAGGCCTCATTATCCTTGCTTTCGCGCAACTAGACTCGGGCTGGCCAAAAGGTGCGCCATATTTGCATTCGGTGTATTGACGTCATTTTCCACATATCGCAAACGTCTTCCAAATTTGGTCAACGATGGCTGTTTATGAAGAATCAACCGTGGGATTTGAGGCAATTAGAAAGTGAGAAATATCTGGAATGAATAAATAAGAAATTCGATCGTAGAACGTCATGAGATTAGTAGAGAGAGAAAAGCCAAGAAAGAAAAAAAAACATAGTCGAAGATAATAAATAAATAACGAAATGATAGGTTTATCCAAGATTCAAATTTGAAACCCTTACTGGCTAGGTAAGGTACGCACTTACCATAACGCTACGTAATGAACCAGAACCTCAAGTAAAAACAACATTGCTCTCAACGAAGAGATAGATTTACGTACGTGCTTACCAAGACGCTACTAAATGAACCAGATATGAGCCTCAAGTGAAAAAAAAATTGCCGGAGGAAAACAAAGTGTAAAGCCGGTCAAGCCGTATTAAACGTCAAGCATGAATTCAAAGTTGTATTTCAGGAAAAAAGCAGGGGTTTGACTGTAGAGAGCCGAATTTGGACCCCTTTGTTGCATTCGAAGAACAAATGCCCTGTAGAGCCGATATACCGACGATAAAACTCGACTGCTAAGTAAGACGCAAAACAAATGTTCTCTTATCTCGGTCTTATTTTGAATTTAACGGCCTAGATCGCTTCCATTTCTGTTTAAAGTACTTCCATAGTCGAAATTTATCGCCAAAAGCATTTCGTGGCGGCTAAAATGGCGTTTTTTGCGGGGTTTTGTTTACTCGCGGTCTTTGCTAGGTAACTGTGGACACCCGTGAGCTCGATATATTGCCGCTTCGTGTTTCAGGCTACCTCGCTAGAGATCCAGGCGTATTCAAGCATGATCCGAATCCCGCCAAAATTGTAAACCTCGCATGGCGAGGAACTTAAAAGTAAACACTGACTTTGTTTATTTCGATGTAAAATTAGTTACTTTTTTGTGCTTATGAACAGATAATAACTTCTCCTACCAAGCCATTTTGCTTAAGGTAGCCGCGGAAGCTGGTGCGAAGGCTGGACTATCTTTTGGCGAAAGATGGGCCAAGAAAACAGGCGCAAAAGCAGGAGCTAAAGCTGGTGCAATGGCAGGAGTACAAGCTGGAGCATGGGCTGGAGGAACTGCAGGAGAAAACGCAGCCATCAGAATGATTACAAAAACACTGGAGGATGGGTTAAACAATCTTCATGGTAACGACGTGCATAAATATAAGATTAACGTAGTGGATGGTAACGTGGTCTCAGTCACTGGACCTGGAATGACAGGAGCCAGTGCAGCTGCAGGAACAGCAGCGAATGCTTGGGCTGGAGGGACTGTCGGGGTAGGTGGGTCTGGTGGAGCCGGCGGAAGTGCAGGCTCGGTTGGAACTCCTGGAACAGGTGGGATGGCTGGAGCTACTGGTAGTGGTGGAGCTACGGTAGCTGCTGGAAGTGCAGGTGCAGCGGCAGGTGCATCTGGGGGAGCCGGGGGAGCCGGAGGATCAGGGGGTGCTGTAGGTGCTGGGGCTACTGGGAACACCGGTACAGGAAGTAGTTCGTCTGGTGGTGCTGCAGCAGGAGGTGCAGCGGCTGCTGGTGGAGGAGGCTCTCGGGTTTCCGGTGCTGCAAGTGTAGGCGTTGGAACTGGAAGTGCTGGAACAGGCGGAGCCAGCTCTGGCACAATGAAACCTGCCAAATGGACGTATATACCAAAACCAGGAGAAGATCCACAATTAATGGCACTTAATTTGGTCTGGAAGGCCGGGGGAGCGAGGAAAAGTAAGTCAGATAATGTTATCGATACTAGAAAATTAAATTTTGCTTTGGGAAACCCGCTAATGTATGGATAGACGGTGTAGCTGTTTTTAGAAGACTATTTTTACGTTTAAAATCATTCTCTCAAATTACTAAGAATCCCATGATGCATCGCTTCATACTATATTATCAAACTTCCGAACGCACGTGATCGTATCAGTTCAACAGGGACGTGACAGTTGAACAACGGTGGAAAGCGACTTGTTTTGCCGATAAAACTTTCTGTACCTTTGCTGTGTCGATCTATTTACGATTTTAGTTTTACCATTCCAAATGTATTTCTTGTTTAGTCAAAGAGAGTGTTTTGGTCGCCGACTATGAGTTAACTAGCCTTACGATAGCCAGGCAGTCCACGTAAATGTTCTTAGAAGCTAGCGAGGAAGGTCTTTGCCTCAGTACGTCCTGTTTTAACGTGCGTTGATAAAGCTCTCCATGGATTAACAAGCGATTTCGACGTACTTGTCTTGACATAAATACATATATTCTAGGTGTGAGATTTCTCTTCGTTGCTTGTTTGTGATCGCGGTGCTCATATTGTCAGTTCGATTATTCATCGATGCAGTACATCAACCGTACGGTGACCGCACATGCTTTTACTTCAACAAGCTCGGCTTAATGCAGTCGAAAATACCGAGACCATTAAAGTACAAAGCGACGTCTATCGGAGATAAAATTCAAAGGAGGCAAACAGCTCCAACAAACAATAAAAATAACAAAGACATCTCTATATTTTTCGTAACGCAACACCAGCTAAGCATCATTGTCAAACATAAACATATACAAAATACATATACAAAAAAACCCACTTCTTCGGTACAATGGATCCTAAAAGAATTATCAAAATGTCTTAAAGGTTTTTCACGCCAGTTGAGGTCTTACTGCATGCTATTCCATGACAAGCTATGCCATTTGCTGGCCTGTATATTTCAAGTTCGCCACGCGCGGTTGCGACCGAAAGCCACCGTGAGAAACCAATTTTACCTAAAACAATGAGACAAAAAAGCTTTAATACTATAAACCATTGAATTCAAACATTCATCATACCCTCAGGAGATAATAGTTGTGTTTTGATCAGCGAAAAAAGAGCGAATTCAAGAAAAAATGTCCCATCTTCGCAGGACTTAGCATAAAGAAATTGAAACCTTCGTCTTGCATCTTAGCGGAGAAAGGGCAGAAAATGCGATATTTCAAAACGATCAAACCCATAAAAATCGCGAGGTTGAAAGAGGTCGGAGCGTGGACCTAGTATCAAGCACTCCTTGCCCGCCGATTTAAACAATTTATTAGGGCAAAACCTTGCTAGGATACAGACAGTTTTCGATAATTGAAAGTCATCTAAATAAATACTGTATTCACTTGCGAGTTAAAACAGCATGGCTTAACAGGGTCGTAAAGGAGAGTAATAATGCGTGAAATGACCATGGAAACATTTTACATTATTAATAAGATACCAAAGATTAACAGGGCTCATTGAAACTTACCTTGGATGAGCTGCATCTTGAAATTTAGGTCGTTTAAAATCTCCCTCTAAACCTTCGAACGCTCATTTCCACCGCGGAGAGAAGACAGAAATTAGCCGCGAAGCATCATGGGATATATGAAATTCCCCCCTTTATCTCATGTCTGAGTCCAAATGTAAGTTTTGAAGATAGATAACGAGGCAATAGTTAGTGAACAGTTATCTGAATAGTTTGTATTTGCCTTTGAAGTATCATCTTTTATCAATAAATTGAAACCATAGAAGAGATGAAGTTATCTTTCTACCCTTGCATTCATGCATGCATGCATCCATCCATCCATCCATTCTGATTCATTCATTCATTCAGTCAGTCATTCATGCATGCATGTATTCATTCATTCATTTACTTGGTTTTCAAAGTTTTTGATACTTTTGGGGGCTTCGATCTTTAACTCTTCACCTTTGAGCGCCACAAGGCTCAAAAACTGCGGGTGAAAGTAAAAAATATAAACCTCAAACAAATATTCCTTCTTGCGCTCAACTATGGAATAAACTTCCAGAAGATGTCAAGCTGGCCGATAATGTCTAAGCTAAGATCAATTCAGCTGTAATTTTTATACTTTCAATTTTTTTTGTAATTTCTATAATTTTTTATATTCATGTGTACATAGATTATAGATTATACGTTTAATTTTTTTATACTAGGTATTATTATATAATTTTAGATTTAATGCACGTTCGTATTTTGAACGAGCATTTGTACTCTTAGACGATAACGAGGTTAAATAAATTAGTGTTGTTGTTGTTGTTGATATAAGTATAACTAGCATTATCTGAATAAGTAGAAGTCATATGACTTAGAGTTTTCTATTAATATTCTGTTCTATTCTATTTGCAAGTTGCAATAAATTGATTAATCTATTATAATTGTTACCATTTAGAGTTGTTAAAGGAATGAAATATAAAAAAGGATTATCCTATATAAAGATTCGTTTATTGTTGTTCTTGTACTTCTCTATTATTTTCATTATACTTAAATATGTCTTTCTAAATTATTTGTTCATTATTTCTTTGTCTTAGTCGTAGCAAATGGAATGTATACTTTTCATTCAATGGAAGCACCGTACAGCCAGGAAAATGCCTTTCTCAACGATTGCTGGAGATCAAAATATGGTTTATTCTACGTAGATAAATTTTGTCAGGTATTTATTACCCGTATTCCTGCCTTGTCAAAAGAAGCCAGCACATCGAGAGACACAGTTTCCTTTGAATCTGCATGTCGGCCAGGATATTTCTTGCGCCAAAAGAACTATAACTTCATTCTCCAAAAGAGAGACGGAACGGAACTTTTCGGTAGGTATACATCAGAATCTTTTGCTTTTAGACCCAGGCCGCGGGGTGTGGTGCTCCCCTATATAAGCTATGATATGTAGTCATGTGCCGGCCCAAATGGTACAGTTTTTGTCACAAAAATGGGTATAGCTTTAGTCCATAATTTATGATCTAGCAAAATACGGATACGATTTTAAATGGAACCACGAGGACGTATAAATTTATTAGTTATTCAGCTATAAACGTGTTTGTGTTGTTGTTGTTTTTTTTTTTCAGATGAATAAGACCGTCTAGTGTCAAATACTTCTTAGTAATAAATAATGCTTTTGTTGACTTCACTTGAACAAGGTAACCGGGGAAGGTACACCCATACATGGGCTATATGGATTTTGAGGGCTTTCTATCCTCCCTTGGTTCTCGGTGTGATCCTTAGAAAGGGTTCCTTACTATATATATCAGCTAAAAATTCAAATGCGTATCACGTATATGCCCATCTGCGCGAGAAACAAATCACCTGTTAAAACTGAACTTTTCTTCGAGAAACAGTAAAGCAATTAAAGAAAGATTCGTGTGTTTCCATTAAATTCTTAGTTTTTGTTTTTCCCTTGATTGTCTCATTTTTCAGGTTTGGGCCTTAAATAAGGTATCAGTTTTGGTCTGTCTGATCCATAAATACGGTCAGGGTCTAAGACGGCACACACCTATCCAAAATTTATGGGATAACCACCCCCACCAGGAAAAAGGTAATAGATTGGCGACCAGAGAACAACTTTCAGAGGCCACTTCGGAAAAAAGGATGGAAAAATGTTTTGGACTGAGATAAGGCTAGGATTTGGAAAACCGCGCGAAAGTTTCAAATAGTGAAAGTTTTTCCTCTACACTTAAAGACTCAGTTTCGCGAGCCGCCACTTTTCGTCATGTTTAGTAGCCTAGCCCTTTTATCCGTGACGGCATTCCGTCGAAGGTAAGCTGATTGGTGGGAAGTTCAAGTGGAATGCCAACTTTCAAGAAACAAAAGAGGCAAGGCCGATTTTACTGTCGGGAATTTATATTTCTTTTACCAATATTTATGAAGGCACGGGCTTCTTCTTCAGGCTACTTGCATGCAATGATAAGATAAAGCTAAGACGTTAAAATTTGAAATAAAGAATAGCTAGCCTGTACAAAGACGTTGTTTTATTTTTCTTTTCGTTTTTTTGGAAAAAAATCGGCCAGCAAGCGATAGTGTGCGATATGATACTATGATAACAGGTGAAAATTTAAATTAGAAGAAAAGTGAACCTTAAAAGTACATCTGTATGAAAACAAAAACCGTTGAATAAGTGATATGAAGGAAATTTGAAATGTAAAAATAGTATAAATAAATGTTTACAAACGGAAGAAATAAAACATTTAAAAAAGGTTGCAATATTCTTTAAATTATTCTGGTACGAGGATTTTGTCCACTGAATATTAAAATTACTCAATTTCCTGGTGGATTCCGTGTTAATATTTTAATTGTCATCTGTTATTAAATCCCCAGATAAAGACAGTTCATTTTTTGTCTACGACGTCGTAACGTACACTCGCTATTTTCTCTTCAATTCGATGCACAAAGACTGGTATGTCTGCGACGAAAGTAGGGGTGAAGATCGTCGAGTTCCCAAAATAAGTAAACTTGCTCTAGACTTTTACAGTGGTAACCCAGACGTTCTTCCACGTTGCGCCTTTATACTCAACCCAATAGAAAAAAATGGCGACAAGTTTAGGAACTGTAAAAACTTTATTGGGCCAGTGGAAACTCCAGAAATAAGCGGACAACCTCTTCCTCATCCACCTCATTTGGTTTCGAATAAACCACCGTCTCCTTTTGGTCTACCAACCTGTATACCAGTTTGCCCAGCGGGACCAACACAGCCTGGAGCTCAGGCAGGACAAGGGAGTATGGGCCAAGCGGGTCCCGGCACCTCCCCTGCTGAAGCGAGTTCATCACATGGAGTTCAACCTTCTAACAAACGTAAGAGATAGGCGATGAATATACGTAACTTCCTCAAATACAAGTTTTCCCTTGATAAATCCCCCCCTTCCCTTTGATACAAAAAAAGAAGTAATTGCTGCCAGCTACTCATACGCTTGAGTAATCAAGAGAGATGATAAACAAATATGGTGTCAAATGAACGCCTATTTAAATTTTTCGAGTCGAGAGGATGGCTCAAATAGGTAGGGGGACTCTTCGGTCATATTACGGTATTTATGGCTATAACTTTCCGAAAGAAACATCAAATAATCGCACAAAACCCACCTTTCCAATAAGCAGCCATTTATCGAGCAAAGGATATTGTCCCCGCTTTCAACTTTTATTAAAACTACAGAAAAAAAAAAGAAATTAATTAAAAGTGGGTACGGATGGGGATAATTGGAGAAGGTTTAAACAGATTGCATTCAGATCAACTTGATAAACAGTCTGACACTGTTCACAGTGAACGCACCCCCTCAAGAGGGTCATATTGGTGTTAACCGTCAGACGATCGAGGACGTAATCGTCAACCATCAAAAAGCTAAATTTTTTTAACGCTAGCCACCAAGGGTCTATTTACAAACGAGTGAGAAAGAAAATTATTTTTTCACTGAATCATCATCATCGGTCGACCCGGAAGAACAGTCGACTGAAAATCGTCTGACTCCAACTGTGGCATGTGTATAATTTTCTTGTATGGTAATGACGTCATGTTGGAATAATAAAAGAAGGTAACTGTTAACAATTTTTAGCCTTTAACCGTCAGAGCAACCCCCCATTATGACCCTTACTGTAATGTACGTAACTCCGTTGAAACAATTGCCTCTGAAATGTTTAAAGATGGACTTTCCTGTATCCGACAGTATCCGAGGCAGACCATGGTTCACCATAAACTTGTTGCTTTTTATCACAGCATACTGTGTTGCGGTAATCTTCGACAACAAGGTTGGCTCTCCTTTTACGTTGTACTCTTCTCTAAAACACGAGGGATATCTCGTCACTGGATCTGGCTTTAAACTGAAACTTTTGATAGATCGACCAGAACTGCACAGCCACGTGACCTTCTACGCTAAAGACCCAGGTGGAAATCGAGGAGACTTGTTAAATGGGGAACCAAGTATTTCAAGGCCTGTGGTTTCTAACTGATGATTTTTTTTCCGGTAACTGTGACAGCCGAACAAGGCTCTTCAAGTTCATCCCCGGAGCCCCGGTCACATCTCCCCCTTCATCTGTTCCCGGACAGTATGCACCGCCAGCTGCTCCACCAGCTCCAGCAGCCCCACCTCTTCCTCCGTCACCACCTCTTCCTCCCCCACCACCTCCTGCTGCACCTCCGCCTGCATTACCTCCTGCGCCAGCGTATCCGGCTCCGCCGTCCCAAACTCCATTAGCGCCACCATCTCCTCCGGCTCCGTCCACAGCACCAGCACCCCAGCCGGCTTATGCTCCACATATTCCGTCCATTCAAGGTGCTCCTTCCATGCCAAGAGGCAAGTAAATCATTTGCTAATAGTAACAATATAATAACGATGATGATGATGATGATAATGTTAAAAATAATAACTGATAAATTGTTTTTCCCTTGTTTTGCATTATGAAATTGACTAGAGCGTTTATTTCGATGTGAAATGCATGGATATTAGATCTGAAGAAAAAACAACTAATTATGCTCTTTTAGTTGATAATAATAGTGACAGCATGTATACTTAATTATAACGTGGAAGATAATTATGATAGTTGCCGTCCCTGTTCTAAGCAGTTCAATAGCTTTCTCTTTTGTTATAATTGAAGACAACTGATTAATATCTTTTTGATATTACAACTGATGGTTACTCAATGACGTAGCTTTCGAATTCAGTACTGATTTTACAATCCTCGCCCTTCTAAACCGTAACAAAGGTACTTAATTCTAGACAGCAATATACGTTGGCAGCCTCCCCTTACGTACGATTTATCCAATAATTTTATTTTTCATAGTTTATGAAAAAAGAAATTGCTTTTTTACTGTTTGCAGACAATGGGTCGGTTCATTACCATTACCACTATTATAAATCCAAGACGGATGACCACCTACATGGTAATGATACACTTTTATTTTATGTATTTAGCACCCATGACAAAGCCTTATTTTTCCTAAATTCCACCATTTTCACCTAGGCCATAATGCACCTAATTTACTTCCCCAAATTTTTGCACAACTCGGCGTTGTCTTCGATTTTCCTTGGTAGGCCAGTCATACCCAGGAGAAATTGGAAACAATGGTTATGCAAATTTGATGGGTTTGTACTATCGACCGAGTGAACAAGAAAACAACGCCATGCTTGTTTGTCTCGAATAACTCCGTACTTTTACTGACGGATCACGTGACGTGATGAACTAGTGATTAACGACATTACAGGGTTAACAAGGTGCATTATGGTCAATGTGAAAATGTTGAGTTGATACAGGAAGGAAGATCAAATAATGATCTTGCCCCAGTTGTTCAAACGTTAGATAGCGCTATCAACCGGATAAATCACTATCCAGCGGATATCTATTAGGGAAACCAATTGCGTTATCTCGTACTGGACAGAAATTTATCCACTGGATAACGGTATCCACCTTTTGAACATCCGGGGCCAGGAATCATTGTCACACTTCAGATGATTCTTCAAATTTATTTATTTTTACGTATAAGTCATCACTAATCAGACATAACATCTGTGAGGGATTGGTTCGATAACCAACCGATACTCAGGAAAATGAGCCCCCTCTCATCTCCCCAAAAGAGCTTCGGGGAAGATCAAAGTCCAGACCCTGGAGACGGCGGAAATCGACAATCCTGGACAAAACTACTTGAGAAAATGTTTTCATTAATGCGCACTACCTAACGCAACAAAACTATTCCCAAATCAACGGCTTTGCGTAAAGAAACCCCCTCCCCCAGTTCAAAGTTGCTTCCTACAAATGCTTAGGGATCCGGCTTTCTTTGAAAGACCCAACAACACTGCTTCCAGGGGGAGAGGGGGAGGGAAGAATGGGTCGGCTACGAAGTTTAGAAAAAATGACCCCCAAGAAGGCAATTTTCTCAACAGTTTTGTCCACGATTGGAGCCTATGTGAAGGATACTAAAATAATAATTAGATCAAAAAGCCAATCTCGACTCTTATGTAAACTTTTTAACAGCAAAGAAGAGTGTTTTACCTGATATCCTATATTTTTCCATGTCTTTGATCTGAAGCTTGCCCAAGCAGCTGTTCTCCTAATTCTGTTCCATGCCCTCCCGCCTGCCCGATACACTGCTGTAAGCGAGACTTGGACGAATACGTAGACGACGAGAGCGACGAAGATCAAACAACAGAGAAGTGAGTTTGACTCTGTCCTAGAAAATGGAACTTCCATAATGTAGATGACACATTTACATTTTGTGCTGCACTTGGTGATTAGACGACTTAGACCTTTTCAGCTTTATATGCGTCGTTGTAGATACTCACAAGCTTGGCTTCCAGCAAGCTCTTGACTAAGGGGCGAGGGAAGAGAACTGGAGAGCTCACTTGAGGTCCTGCTAGCAAGCAGCCTTCGCACAAAGAGAAAGCCTCAGCCAAACTGTCCAGCCGACATTCTAGGGAGCTTAAGCAACAACGACGGCAAACGCTACGAAAACGTCACTCAAAAAGTGAAGTCGCGCTGCTTCAAACTTTATCGTTTTTATTCCATATCGTTCAATTTGTCAAATGTTGGCATTTTTTTCTGGAGTTGAATTCTAAATGACTCTACAGAATTTTAGGAAAAGAAAAAGAAAGTCGTTTGTCTTTATTGTGTCTTGTGTTCGCGTTCTGGACAAAACGTGAAATTAGGTATTTTCACGTCGTAGTCGTGCAGTGATGGCAAAGAAATATACAAAAAAGCGTGATGCACGTGCACAGTTGTTATTTTGCCAGTATAAAAGTATTGCTTTTTTGCCGTTCTTGTTGACGTCGTCGTCGTGGTTTCGTAAGCTCCCTTCTACCAAAATAAAGGGGCTGTATCATGGACGTGGCCCATTTTGTTTAGCGTTTCCTATGGCTTAATTACATTTAAGTCTCTATAAAAAACGTTTATGACCGTTTAATACAACACCGGCACCGTTTGGCTGGCGCTTATATTAACTGTATTCGCTGTTCTTGGTTAAATAAAATAGAAATGGTTTCACTCAAACTCAAAAAGATGCCATCTTAAGTTTTGGGAAGAGCACTCTGCTTTGATCCATTTGCTAATCACGCACTTGACGCGCGGTCATCGCTTGACTTCTTTATAGTGGGTACCATTTAACGAGGAAACTTGGATAGATCTCCATGCCACTTTTCCACTTTTCATTCACAAAAGAAAATTCTCCCCAGATAAAATTGGTTATACTAGAATATACGTGTGGAAAACGCATATCGAAAGTTCCGAATTGAAGCTCTGAAGTTTATATTTTGGGGCTTATGTTCAGAGGGGCTTTATATAAACAACTCATCTCAGGAAGAACTGATTTTCGTTTCGAAAACCCATTGGTTTTTGAGCGTGATCAAGCGACCTCACTTAAATCTACCGTCATTATTATTATTATTATTATTATTATTATTATTATTATTATTATTATTATTATTATTATTATTATTATTATTATTATTATAAGTGTTCAGTTCATAAGACCGTATTTCTTCTCCAAGGGCCCAGTCCAAACCTTGAACCTGGGGCACTTGAGGGTTTCTTTGTCATTATTGTCGCTTGATGGATAGGACCTTCCGTGGAATATGTGCCGTTCCCGGTAATGTTGTCTTCTGAATTTCCCAGATGTTAACGTTCCCTGGAATTTCTCTAAAACAAGCTTCTCTGAACCTTTCTCAATCCCTAACGCCCCTACAACCACTGGAATTATTTCGGTCTTTATCTGCCACATTCTCGGCTAATTTCGATTTCCAGATCTTTATACTTGGAAAGTTTTTTGGAAATCTTTTTGGGGGTGTTTTTATCAGAGGGTATAGCCACATCAATGAGAGCGCATTTCTTATCCCTAATGTTCTTGATGACAATGTCAGGACGGTTTGCAGAAATTTTTCTATCCGTATGAATGGGCATATCATAGAGAATGGTGATATCATTCATTTTGTTATTATTATTATTACTATTATTATTATCATTATTATTATTGTTATTAGTGGCGTGAGCTTGTAAATTAGTGTCTTAGGTTCTTTTAATATTTTTATGTCATCAGAATTTTAGTCTATGATAGTGGAATGTATTGGTCATATGTTAATAAAATTTTTTTAGTTATTAGTAATGGTAAAAGGACTGAGTGGAGTCCAATTCGTGCCACGTTCACGATCCGTTTTCTCATTTCGGAATTCGCAAGGAAAACTCGGCGTTCGCAATCCGTTACTGCCCTTTTGACAAACATGCGAACTCTAAAGTTCAAAAGCCGCCTTCACAATTGCGTTTTTCGCTGCCGTCAATCGTAATTACGAGCACAAGCAACAAACCTTGAAACACAGAAACACACAAAACGGATCCAAATCCACCAATCACAAATCACAAACCATGACCTTTTGAACCCGTTAAAGTAAAGTTTTGTTTCCTAAGAGGTCCGTTAAGATGATCGACGGCAGCGAAAAACGCAATCGTCAGTTGGCTTTTGAACTTCAGAATTTGCATGTTTGTGAAAAGCGGAGTAACACCAAGAAAATATGCTGTTTACTTCACGTTTTCCAGCACACGGAAAACGTGGTTGAACAGTGCGTTTTCTCTCGTTAAGCGGACATTTTACCAAACGGTTAATGTAAGGAAAATATCGCGTTCGTGACTCGTTTTCCCACTTCGGAAAAGACAAGGACAACTTGGCATTCACCATCACTTTAATAACAGAGGGAAAATATGCTGTTCATGTCACGTTATCCAGCACATGGAAAACTGGATTGAACAGCTCGTTTTTTGTCGTTAACCGGAAATTTTACCAAACGGTTAATGTCGTGAAAATTTAACGTTCCTGAATCCTTTTCCGACTTCGGGTAACTCAAGGAAAACTCGCGGGAAAACTCAGCATTCACCGGCGCTAACACCAGGAAAACATGCCATTCATTTCACGTTTTCTAGCCCCTGGCAAACGCTATTCAAGAGTGCGTTTTGAAACTCATTTTACCATCGTTATCAGCAACGTGTAAACAGTCCGTTGACCGCCGTGTTTTATTTGGGTCCAAACATTTCTCGCCAAGAATTCCCTCAACTTTATTTTGATTATCTTATCAGCAAGAACTTTGCCAAGAAACCGGTGTCTGAGAATATTACAACGGAAATTGACTTCTCAGTAATCTCAGTTCAGCAAATTCTGAATACGATAAGACTTATTTGAGGTCTGTCGTAATCGTCGTTGTTTTTGAAACCAACTCAACGCATACAAAATACATGCAGAGGCTTTTCTCTGCCGCGAGGCCGCGAAGCAAAAGATACGCAAGGGATGAGACCATTTTTGTTTCCCTAGTAACCGGACTCGGTAGCCTCGACATCACGAGTAAGACAAAAGAACAAGATCACATGACCTCAAAGTCCGCCTTTCTTTCATGTGAGGAAATTTTGTCACATTTCGAAGCAGGAGGCGGGAATTTCGAGTTTTTGTTGTTTTGCTGCCATGTCCGCGGTAGATCGTGGTCAAGAAATCTCTCTTTCGGACCTTTACTTCTTGTTATTACCAGCCACGGTTAAAGGAAGCAAGGTTTTGACGGCGCAAGTGGCCGAGAGAACAGAGAAAGAGGAGGACGTCAACAGACTTACCTTTAAGCTGTAGACGAGCTGTGTAAAAAGTTTTCGACCAAAGAGGCGTGTAGAAAGAGGAAAAGGCGCGCCAGTTCTTAACTGACGGTTTCAAGACAATTAGGGTAAGATCTATTTTAACTTCTTTTAGCATGTATTGTAATGAATTGATCTCGAAATTGTATGCAAGTCGGGGATTTGTTGGTAAGCTACAGTGTAGAATCTGGAATAGTGAAATTCGGAATCCGGAATACAACTACCCAGGGAAACTTTCTTGGAAGGGACAAGAAAACCGGTCTGGAAGATAGGCTAAAACTTACCGTAACCGTTTGGCACAAAATTTTTGTGCGAGTTTGTTTTTGCAGATTGGTGATTTTTTCTGTCTTGCGTGAGCTAATTTTTTGCTATTAGGAGAGATTGTTTTTTCTTGCTGGGAATTAATGGCTCAGTCAATTGCAAGCATGCCTTCCCCTCTCCTTCCGCTTGGGCATTTGTCAGGCGTTTAATAATAATAATAATAATCAACTTTATTTAACGAGGGTAACACGGGACAGTACTGCAGCTGAATAACTAATGGCCCTCAAACTAAAATCATAAAACAAAAATTAAGTAACCAAAAATACATATCGTTTAAGAAAAAGAACTATAAATATATATATGAATAAGACTAAAAAGAGTAAAAACTATTTTACAATTATAAAATATCCTTACAATGTCTATCTACAAACCATAATTACAATAAGAATACAGCTATGATGGGTCAAGCGAGAGGAAGGTTGTGAAATGCCGGATTAGCATAAAACTAAGAAATAAAATTAAGGTGTTTCGATGTAGTTTTTTAGAAGCCATACCGATATTTTTCAATAGCTTTAAAAGTGATTTTATCCTTGTCTGACCGCTACAAAGTTTTCACCAATGATTGACTATAGATTGAAATTTGTCAAAATGTAGGTTTTAGTAAAATCGATATTACTATGACAACAATAAACAAAAAAAATTGAAATTGATAAACGCCTAATTTTGCGCGATCTAGACCTGCTACTGAAAATCCAACACTAGGAACTTAAAGTTAAAACGAAAATATATTTTAAACCAAATTTTATTGTGATAGATTATTTAAAAAAGACACGTTATAAATCAGAATTATTCTTTAATATAATGTTTCGATGCTAGGGAATTTTGGTGTATTTTCGTTCTTGCGATCTTAAAAACTAACCCGTTTTCTCACCACCTGCCTAAGTGCAACTTCATTCAAAATTTGGACTTTTAGCGGTTTTTTTTATATCTCTGCATGAAACGACTCGAGCGAATTTTTTTAAGATCTCTTCATATAATTTTCATAATGTATATAATAATGTCTGAAATTTTCATTGACATTGATTCACTGCAACACCTTGAAATTTCAAGACAAATCTATCCTACGAACCGGTCAAAAATCTGCGTTACAACATTCACTGTTTTGACGTTATGCTAATTGTTCCAAAATAATGTGCACTATACATACCTCAATGACTAGTACATTTTAGTTTGAATTTATCGCATCTTTTGAATGTAAAACGTTGACAATACTCACACTGAAATGTACTAGTCATGGATATATG